TCAGTTCCTATTTGCGCTACAGTGTTGGATGTGTTGTGACACTAAAGTTTTGAGCTCGTTTTGATACACAGATTACTTTCTACATCTACACTGTTAGTCTTAAATTTTAAGCGGGTTTGTCTAAATCCCATTTGACTCGACAAAGGACACAAAACAATCTTTTTTCCCCCTTGTGCTTGGCTGGTGATCTTTTCCTCTCGTATTACAAGAACTAAACATTAAAAAGTGGTAGTCTACAAACAGACCCCGAAATTCTCAGTGTGGGTAGGAGAGCTAGGACATTAATTAACTAGTTGACTTAAAGAAAACAGTGTTTGTCAAATTACTCAAGTGACTCTCTCTTGCCCTTGGCTTCTGTCTTCCTTGCCTTAATGAAGTCGAGAATGTAATGAGCTTAACAACAAATGAAACTGGTTTTATTTTTGTGTCCTCAGGAATACATTCACTGAAATGCAGTGTAGTGAGGTGAACAATGGAGTCCCAGCTTGCTCTCCTCACACTGAAATGCCAGCTTTTGGTTTCTGATAATGGCCAGGATGCATTAGGAGGCCTCCATGGATCTGTATTATTTGGTAGACGTGGATTTTTTAGAAATCTGCAGCAATTGATTGGGGGCCGTGAACATATCACCTTTTTAGGGTGAAATGACAAACTTGTTAGCAAACAGCTGCTCATTTACACATCCAGCAGTTATGGAGCAACATGGTCATTTTGGTCTCTACCGACTCCTGAGGGAAATATCTGGCTCTTTAGCTGCTGAAATGCTCGGCTATGTTCACCAGCTAGTCTCTAACTGTCTCTCTTTCACTGAAAAACAGCTATCTGCTGAGACTAAAAATTACGCTATAAAAGTGAACCAAAACAGTAAATCTGACAGCAAAGCAATGAGCTGAAATATCTAAAGCCTGTAAAGCCGAGGGGAGCTACAGATTCATATAAGTCTCTGTAGATTTACTAAAAGCAACCCACGTCACACTGTCTTCACATTGTCATACATCATTATTTTAAATATATACACTATAGCCTCTTTTAAAAATGTAACCAAGATGCATACTAAGAGTGACGTTTTACAGTGTAAAAATAAACTCGCCACTGCTCTATGGTGAACAAACTATCATCTCTTTGAGGCACCTTTCTGGTTGAATAAGTGATTATTGTTATTATTATAAATAATAATATGATTATGTGGTACGGGACAAATATACACTTACTGTACACATGCATCTGCATTACACTAAATAAAAGAGCTTCTGCACTCAGTCAGATTATGTGAAATTCAATCTTGATGGATTAAAAACCTGCCACGTTTACTCAGTTTATCAAATCTGACAAGGTCACAAAAACTGACTTCAAGACAGCTGACAGAAAAAGGTCTCATATTTTGGGTAAAAAATATTAAATATTAAAATGAAAATATTAAATTCCGGTTGACACATTTTAGTGAGTTATCAGACATGTTGATGTTGTGGTTGTATTCAGAGGAGGTAAATAGGCAATGGTTTGTCCCAGGAGATGTTTCTGTGCATGGATGCGTTTACCCTACAGTACAATATACAAAAGCTTATGTGTATTCATGAGAATGTAAATGTGTATCATTTTAGCTGTGAACTTTTCGAAGGTTGCTGAAGGTAAAAAAAAAATAGGTATATGTGTTAATGCTACTCAGAGCATGAGCCGTTCGCCACGTTATTACAAAGAGTCTTACATCACAAGCTGTTATCAACTTTGGGGGTCCCATGGAAATTAATTTAGATTCTTCAGTTGTACCCTCCGGTTAGGTTCAAAAACAGTACCAGAGCTACATGAAAGTGGCTGTATTCCTCTCATTTCTAAAGAATGTTCCTTCTTCCCATGATGTGTTACTCCTGAGAAGTAAAGAAACAACAGTCTGGAAGTGGGATGTTTAGAGTATGGGTCCCTTATTTCCCTTGACTAACCAATTATACAGAAATACTGTATGAGAGGTGCCATCTTAATGATGCTTCACTGTTGGCTGAATACGCAACAGGTTCCATTTGAAGTGTGGTGTTAGAAAACAATAAAACTGCGCTGATGTACAGTCTGTTTCATTTTATTAATAGCCATATTGCGGTACAGTACACAGAGATGATTCATACCTAAATTGCGAGCCGCGTAGAAAATTGTCTGCCCACCAACATGGTGTTGAGATGCCTCTCACGTCCCACTGAAGCACTCTAAAAATTTTAACATTTCTCTTTAAAAAAAAACCCAAACAGATTGATATGGAATTTCTACAGATTTGATTTGGTCCAACAGTCCGTGAATGCGCAGTACATGCATACGCTGCATGCTTGAATGCCTGTGCAAGTGCAGTGTTGTAGGTCTATGTGTGGAAGGACACTTGCTTCGAGCTGATACAGTATATCACAATGAAATTATGGCTGTAACACCCTTGTTGCGATGGAAGGTGTCAATTCAGCTATCTGAAAAGAGTAAAAATCTTTGCATGGCTAAACAGCACCTGACGGCAATATCCCTTTAATATTTTGTTATTTTATCACGTGTGGGTTGCTTGTGATAATGCTGGATGCGAGGGAAAAAAAATATATATATATACAGCAAAAGAAAGTACCTGGAGAGACTGTTTTAAAGAGGAAGAAAGAAAAAACAAAGACAGAATGAAATAATGAATGAAAGAAAGAAAAGGCAAGGATGAAAGAAAATGGGGGGGGGGGGGAAAGGGAAGCAAAGAAGGGAAAGAAAGCGACAAGAATAGAATGTTAGGATAAAAGGATGACTAAACCCAACTCCTCGGAGGGTGAGAGCCAATCTGAAAAATGATTGGTTGACTTTCCTGGGGCAAAGCTCTCTTTGCTCACATCAATAAAACATAAACATGAATAAATGCACTGCTTTTGGCCTTCCAGGGTCCTTACTTAATTTCATGTATGCAAGTGAGCGATGATATGCATGGAAAATTGTATTTACCTAGAAGGCTCAAAATAATTCTGGAGCCATTTTGTGTTTGTTTGTTCCCTGTATTTACATAAATGCAAGGCCGCACCATAAACTCTTAAAATATGGGTTTAATGCAACTTCATTTTCGGGTTTTTCACAGTTTAAGTCACGCATCTGGTGTGCACGTCATGTCCTATTCCCCACTCGTCTCAGCATTTGCATGTATAGCACTTACTCCCTATTGACTCGAGTCACAGATGCACAGCCTATCAATAATGTTGAAGACGTGGGAACACACAGTCTCCAGTGATGTACTCTTGATGTATCCACTTAGGGACAAATCATCCAAACAGTCATCTGCCTCACTAGTCTGTTGGTCCCTGAGGTAGATCTTCACTGACCCAATTCAACGGGTCAGCTTTTGTTAATGAGCCAGCCGCGGAAACACGTTGACAACAGTTAAGACAGACCTCCTAATGGCAATTACAGCTTGGTTGCTAAGAGGCTTTTTTGTTATCAAGTTTTGTCATTTGTGGCTATTTTTAGAGACTGTTTTACATCCTCAACTAAATTCATGAACATTTGATTAAATTGGATCCATGTGCAAAATGGTGCAAGTGATTGAAACCCTTAAAACTGTGAACATTCATTCGTTGTTCACTCAATTAATTTGCAGTGCTGGATATTTGAATCCCTTTGGTTAGGAATGAACTGCCTCCAGTTTGACACTGATAAAAATCAATTCCAGATTCAATTTACCTTGTAGTATTTATAATGTCCCATGACACAGAGTCTCACTGTTCTTGGTAAAAGAGAAATGAAGAGACAAACGATCAACAGTTCGGCAGAGTTTTTCTTTCGTATCTATTTTTCAAAGCAGGCAATTAGGCCTAACATCACAGCCATTTAACTAAGTCTGTATTCCAAATTGATTCAGACTCCAGCGTTGGACCTTGCAGACATGGTGCACTTAGTTATGCAAATGCTTATCTCTCTGTGTGATTGGTTAATTAACCTGTAATGCAGATAGTCCCAGCCATGCACATTGGCTGTTTGATGGCTAAATTGTGGGTCAATTGGGTTTTTAACATTTTCAAAGCAGACTTAGAGGCATGTCTTTGTTCCTCCGAGTCTTGTGTGGCTTTTCTCGGTTTAATGACTCGTTCCGTGGGTCCCACAAGGTTAATGTGTTTAAACTCACTGTAATTGAGCTTTTGACCTATCTTTCAGGCTTTTTAAAAAAATCCTCATATTATGCCATGTTTCTGCTCCTTGATTGTTATTATCTACCATTCCTTCCCCCTCCCTCCATGCCCTGCCCTAAACTCTCCACCCCAACCCCCCTTTCTATCCTGAGTTATGAGCATCCCCATGGGAAGTCATTTATAATGCCATTGGAGTGACAATAATTCGTTTGCACACCATTTCACTCTGCCCTCTGTGCCTTGGCAGGCTTTTATGGGCTACATTTTTGTTTCCCCAGAAACACATTGTCCAACCATCCTCAGAGAACACGCAAAAGCATTTAGCCCAAACTGGAGCTGGACGTCTACCAATGAGTAATATAAGTGACATAACATCTTCCATCAACATTCGCAGATTTCTTGGTGCCTTTGCAGCTAAACCACCTCACTATTTTAAAGGTAAAAGGAGTAACAGAAGTTTTTTTTAAAAAGACAAAAAAAGACAAAGGGAATAGTGAATGAGAGAGGGTGGTGTGGTGCAACCGCAGACTACATTTCTTTTCATTGTTCAGTGAACAATTATGTTCAGATTTTGCTGTCATGTAGGTATCATTCCACATGAGATACAGACACAATTCTTGACAGCCCACATGGATTTTTCTTTCAGATCCTGCCACTGGCAGAATGACATCTCTTGACAACATGAGGATCACTTGTCATTGGGATAACATACTGTATGAGGCTGATATTTATTAGTAAAGGGATGTAGCAGACATGTATTCATTCCACGTCATTAGGAGTAGACACATAATGTATGCTGGTGAGGCATTTATGCAAAGGCTTTTTAGTGCAGACGTTGGCATGTAATTACATATGTCTGTTGCTGTTACATTTTAGGTGATCCTGATCTTGACAAAGCTGTATGACTTCAACCTGGGAGCTGTTACTGAGAGCTCACTCTGGAGGTAAGTTTGTTTTTAATCACTGCTATTTTTCCTTTCCCATCTAAATAGAAAGGTTATGGCATCATTGCAAGAATTTTATAAAAATGCAAAAGCACAGCCCTAAAAACAATAAGAATAATGTATTCATAGAGAGTGCAGAGCACTGCGAGTATGATTTATAGTGTTCTCCCTTGCTAGGATATGAACAATCAAGTTACACTGGAAGCCAATATAAAGTATGTTTTAATAAAGCAATGTGAAGCAGTTGAGAATGAAGCATTCTCCTCTTTGCTTCCTGCTGTCCCATAAATAACACAACTGAGACTGCAACAACCTTTTAGAAAAGGCCCAACCTATTTTCTGTCCATCATAAGCAAAGAAACTTTTTGAAAGATAAACCGGAAGACTTCTGAGGGATTCTTTGTTTGGATCTGTGGCTCTTTTTCCTCTGACCTAGAAACTTCCTGATGGAGTTTTTGATTGATTGTCATCCGTAACCTTTTGTTTCAGAGGCAATTGACATGCAATTGCTACTGTATAGCCGTAGTAATTCCATTCAGTATGTATTGAGAGGTGAGTTACAGTGCCCTGTCAGGTCATAAATAAGAATGGAATTCATTAAGGATTATACCATAGAGCCCAATCCAGCCTCTCATATGCCTTTTTTTCTCACCTCTCCCATAGCCTGCAGAGAACTCATTTCATTCTGAAATACATGTGAAAAAGAGACCATCAGTCCGCCAAGCATAGAGTTTCAAATTAATATCTGTTTCACCAGAGGCGCCACTAAGATTTACACCCGACTTGACACGTTTTGAAATCCCATATTGTGTACAGGAGGTCTTCCATCATCAAGGTGTCTGCTTAACAATGGCACCACGAGTAAATTAGAGTGTACCTCAGGGGGTGCACGAAGGCTCTTAGTATGGGTATTAGAAAAGCAGAGATTTGAATGTTATGAAAAGAAACGGGAGTAAATGATTTCTGTGATAACACAATAAATGATTTATGACTACAGCTCCAGGCCACTGTTGGTGGCAAAATGCACTGTGCAGATCAATGGGTGCAAAACCCATCTAAACACACATCAAGTCCCTTTGTGTTTTGAGATGGCTGCCTTTTCTGCTAAAGAAACTTCCCGATGTAATTGCAGTCTTTCCTCCACAGCCACAATCAAAGACAGATATGCCAACTGAAAGGAGTACTTAAGCACAAATACAAATGTGTTTAGGGGTGAGTCTTTGAAAACAATGTCAACAGCAAATGGGACGTTTCAGATTAATGCACAGACAATGATAGCAGACACTGGGTATCTATCCAATTATGCAGTGAAATTACATTTGGAGGCACTCAGGTAGAACTGAGAGCGTGGATTGGCTGTTTGTGGCGAGGAGAAATATGAAGATTGGGATGACAAACACATCTACCCTTGTCATGAGATGCATGGACGTGTAAGGAACAGGCAGTGAAGAGCAAGTATCTTTACATGGTGTAAGACACCTAAATGTCTTATTTTGTTTAAACATAGCACGTTAAGTAATAACGACCAAGAATTAGGTTATTTATTTTTCTCTTTTTATCTGCTTTTTAAAACACAAATCATTATTTGTCACCTTTGTGTTGGATTATAGCAACGAATTCCACAATTAAGCTTTCACTGCTGAACAGAAAACAGAAAACAAGAGTATGTAGCTAAATGTCTAAATCAGATGAAAACAAAGAGAACAAAAGGGCATTTTAGCACCAATTGAAGATACAAACTGTATAAAAGGGGATTTCACTGCTGCTCTGGAAAGGATGCCTTTAAATTATTTCCTCACTGTCTTCAAGATACAAATGTCTACTAGCATGAAAGGAGAGTAATGGCTTATATGCTGTAAGCTTACACAATCCTTATACAATAGCCCTTTAACTACAAATTTAATTTACTGTATATACTTACCTTACAGCTGACCATTTTCCAAAGCATACCTGAAGTTCATAAATTGATTTCGTACCCGGCAGGCATCTGCTGGTTTCATTACATGTCAGTGTAGCATGAAAATCAGCTTGCAAAGACTTGAAGGATTTGTGAATGTTCAGTCTGCATCATGTGTTTGTTAAAGCTATTATTATTATTATTATTATTATTGCTGAATGGTTTTGTAGTTGCGAGTAGGAAATGCTTCATGAATATGTCAACCTTTTTAATGCAGAAAGCTTGCATTATGCTTCTCCTCATATCCATATTTTCTTGTTGGTTGTCAAAATGTGATTGCAACACTCTGTGAACTCTGCATCTTATTGTTAGCACTTCCTTTAACGTAGTAGAAAGGAATTAATCTGTTTCCTTTGTTTTTGTTCCTTTGTCTTTTACTTGTTTTTTGGTGGTGAATTGGTTTGCTTTGACTGCTGCTTCATCAGTTGACCTTCTCTGCATCTAACAGTATTTCACCTCTTCATCTTGTTCTCCAGTGTATTTTACAGCTTGGATGCACTATTCATTCACGTTACTGTCTTCTGTAGTCTGCGGTGATGTATTTCCTGTCACCTGCATGCTTTTGCCTATATGTGCAAGCAGAGACTGTTGTCAACTTGCCGACTTTCTTGCTAGATTTGGTGACTACCAATATATCTAGCAACATCGAGTGACCAACATCTCTGTGGATGTGCCATTGACAGACCTTCAGCCAGACAGTAACGTGAATGAGCTATACATGTACCTATAACAACCAAACCCTGATCTCCATTGTTTTCCTGGGGAACTCCTTCTCTTTTGTTTTTGTTCTAAATTATTCACTTGTTGTCTATTTAGGTTAAATTGTTCCTCAAAAGACAGAGTTTACTAGAGTTCATGCTATTTAGGTTCCAAAGTCGACACAACATCCTACATATTAGAGATAGGTTTAGATGCATTTTTATATTATGGTAGCAGTTCGAAAAATAATAAGAGATCATTTTAAAGGTAGTTAGAGTCTTACTTTTTAATTTTTTCAAAATCTTGTCTTGTATGTAAACTTACATAATGATATCACAGATATACAAATTAGATATACAAATCAGCATTTCGAAAAATGCCCAGCAGCACTGCTAGTAGAGCACAACATACAAACAAAATGGGGACCCAGTCGTCTCACCAGTGGTCAAAAACTCCTCAGGATTCTTTTACTAGTGATTAATTTAATCTGTTTGTGCAGAAAATTTCTGTGAAAAACAAAATCTCTGCAGCACTAACTGACTATTTAAAAGGTCTGCTTTTCATTCGACCGCCACCATGTGCTGAAACATGTTGGTTGAATAAAGTGCAGACTCTTTCATAAGTGAGTGCGATTTTCCCAAGTTATTTTTTCACATTTGGTGCTTTTTAATTTAAGCACAGTAGATGGCTGGTAGAGTAATGACAGCACACTTTTTCAGTGTAGCACATTTTGTGCAGGACTGCAACGAAGTGCCTTACAAGAACAACAAAAACAAAAATAAAACATTAACATGAAGCTAGTCTCTCTCTGTAAGTTTTCATTCCATGAAGCAAAAGGCTCTCTGGATGGTGGAAAATCAATCGTATTTTGTGCTCTGGAGATGCAGTCATGTAAAGACTAACTGATTTGCAGTTAATGGGCTAAAACGTGCCACACCACTGGTATGGTGCTTTAAAATCTGTCTCAGGCAGGTCTCTAATGGATTTTTCTTTTTTTCCATCAAACATTGTTTTTTTGTCTTTGTCCAGATCCAGTGATTATGGAAGCACCTACACCAAACTCAATGACAAAGTGGGCTCAAGGACAGTTTTAAGTTACCTGTACGTCTGCCCGACTAACAAACAGAAGGTCAGCATTTCTCTGTTGCTTTTATCCCTCTGTCTGATCTCTCACAAGCTTGACATCAAATTACAGTTTTTTTTAAATTGCTGCCAAATGACGGTATCTCTGTCTCTCTCCCTCTTCTAATGCCATATCCCTCGTCTGGCCCTCTGTACTTTAGATAATGATGCTTAGCGACCCAGAGGTAGAGAGCGCTGTTCTCATCAGTTCAGATGAAGGGGCAAGCTTTGAGAAGCATCCCATTAACTTCAACATCCTGAGCTTGCTCTTCCACCCTGCCCAGGAGAACTGGATACTGGCTTACAGTCATGACAGCAAGGTAGCTTCTGTGTGAATCCACAATGAACCCTTAAGTGGAAATAATATAGTATGATGCTGAATCCATAACCTATTATTAATGTAATTTGTATGCGATTCTCCTGTGATGCTCTAATGGTTGCTGTGCTGCTCAGTAACAACATCTTCTACAAGTGTGATGAAGATCAGCCTAATTTTATCTTGCAGCTGTACAGTTCAATGGACTTTGGGAGGAAATGGCAGCTTGTTCACGACAACGTGATGCCAGGCCGATTCTACTGGTATGATTACATGGCTCCTATTTTTGAACTGTTTCGTACAGTGATTGATTTCAATTTGCATAATGATAGTGTTCATGACCCAATGCTGTCAGAGGGATCCAGTGACCTCTTGTCAAAAACAGATCCCTCCCGTGACAGTCGAGCACAAAGCTGATTATATCCACGTCACGTAGACCTGAAGGAATATTGCTTCTTTTTCCATAGCACAAACATGACATGCTGTGTTTGTTGTCGCTGTCATTTAGTAAATCTCAACTGCTCGGGCACAAGGCAGTGAATATTGATGTGAGCCCCGTTTATCCCTGTTTGTCATGGTATGTGTCAAACCCAAGTGTGTTTTTGTTAGCTGGGGAAGAGAGGACATTGGTTGGAGGACATCCTCTCCACATGCATGAACAGCAAGACATTTGATAAATAAGAACAGCGCAGTGGGTATGGTGGCACCCGAAACAATGTATTATTTGTGCTCTTGAAAACCGTTCCTTCATGCACATTATGTCTAATAGTTATTTTTCAAAATGGTATTGCAGCCACCCACTATTTCATAACAACACACATTTGCTTTAGTAGATATTCATGGGAATAGCTGATGGTTTGTCATACCTGCCCCCTTTGTTGTTTCCTCTGTTGATTCTTTGCTGAATTGAGATTAATTGCCGCTGGTGCTGCCGATTCTACACTGACTGATTGAGATGAAAACATCTTGCTGTGGGTTTCACACAATAGGGATGCCCACCTACAGCTGCAATGCTCAACCTGGCCTCCCCCGCCTCTTATCTTATTTTTTCCTTTTCTTCCCCATCTTCCTCCACCTCATTCTGCTCCTCTCTATCTTGTCCTCCTCCCGTTCTTTCAAGGGCGGTAATGGGGCTGGACAGAGAATCAGACGTGGTCCACATCGAGACGCGCATCGCAAAAGGCCGTGAGTGCTGCACTCCAGTCTGCCACTGTAGCAAGACCCACAGGACCCTTTGCCTCTCATTTAGAGCGAGGTCACAGGGAAGATGAGACCTGTTCTGCTGTTCAGATTGGTCCCTGAAGTCTAGTAAAGCAGAATAGGTGTCTCCTGACAAAAATGAAGAGTTTTAGTGGGTTGATGGATGTTTCTTCTCTTTAATCTATCCCCTGTGTCTCATAGACAAACCTCAACTCCCCCTTCTAAACAGCATGGTATAGTCTGTCAAACCAATTATAGGGTTTATCTGCGTTGGAAAAAATATTCATATTGCTCCTGTGGACAAAAAATCTGTTTCTGAATTAGCACACAAACTTTTTTTGTCTCAAACAATAACGTCCAGAACTTTTTTTTAGTGTGACACACTGCAAGAACTTCAACAGAATCTCAGCTAATTTGGATTGCAAGAAGGGCATTTTCACTGGAACAGGCCATTTAACCATCCAAATGATTTCTAAAAATGGCTTTATTAAGCTGAAAAAGTTGTCAAGTTCCCCTTTAAGAGTAGCATATGCATACTGTATAGCAGCTCCAGTGCATGCAAAGCACTGTTTGAAAGTAAATAGTTGTAATTTACTTGAGATTGATTTTCCTTTTTGCTTCTTTCCAGGCGCCCAGTACGTAAAGTGCAGAGCCCAACGATGCACAGAAGGCAACAGACAGTACCTCTTTCCTGGTCATGTAGACACCAACTCACTGGTTGTGCAGGATGAATATGTTTTCACACAGGTTTGCATAGTAGTAGATTACTTTTTTCTTGATTAAACTTCATTGTTCATCTTTTCACACAAAGCTTTCTGTGTGTGAACTTTGATTTATTTGGTATTTTTTCCCCTTCTTTTTTTATTTGGGGCCCTTGTGCATCCAATTCATTCTTTTCCATCAAAACCCACGTAATGGCTTTCCCCAACGCACCTGTTCCCCACTGGCCCAATGTGTGTTTTGATTATGTTTTGTCTCGTTCATGTCAAGGCACACTCAGTGTTTGAGTTTCCACACAGACATGCCTGAAAAATGTGTTTGCTAGCTGAGAGCACACGGCAAAGGAATTGTGAATAGACAGGTTGGTGTCCTTATTACCATTCACTCTGACTTTGACTCCAATTAGACAGTGGCAGTCAGGGTCATTATTAGAAATTTAATTTTCAAATGCCCTCCACTGTCATTGATTTTCATCCACAGCTAAGTAATTTTCTCTCTGCTGGTCAGCCTTGATGCATTTGGTCATCCTTGTTAGACTCCAGCTAAGTTTCAGAAAAATAGAAATTTAATGAGAGTAGTTTTCTAGGGCTGAGTATTTGTAGCAAATCCTTCTGCACTCTCTTATTTTAAATAAATGCCAGTAAGTGTTTGCTGTTCGTTTTTCTAATGTATTTATCCACAGATTTAATCTTTTGATATGATGTTGCAGCAGCAATACTTTAGCGGTGACCCAGTTTCACTTTCAACACACTTAATCCACAGACTTGATTGGAATGGCTGCGATGTAAGAATGAAAATGTATGAAAAAAATATATCACAGCGTGATTTCAGAAATGGTGATTCAATAAAATGCCCAAATTGCATTTAGCTGAGATGAAATTGACCGTTGAGGCAGAGGCAGACACGAGGAAGATGCTAGTGAAAATAACTGGACACAGAGAGTGTCTGTGCCGAGCCGTGGTGGCACAGATGACTTTCTTGTGACTTTCATTGCTTGGGGCAGTTGGATTTAACTTGACAAAGAGTAATGAGGTTATCGATCGGGCTACAACGAAATAAGCAGTCTTCAACACCTCCAAAGTCTCTTGGGAGAGGAGGAACAGCCAAGTGCAACATCCTCAAAAATGTGGCCTGGGAAAATGCAGCTCATTGATTTTCGATAGATTATTCCATTAGAGCCCTAATGTAGTGTGTTGGGGGACAAACGCCATCCTTCTAGTTGATTAGAAAATAAGCAATCAAGTAGTGTTGCCCTGCCTGTTAGTGGATGGGAAAGTGGTAGTGCATTAAGATCTTCAAGACACACTGTAGATAAAGCCAACACAATTTTCAGTGCCTCTTAGCTTTAGACTAATTGAGATAATGATAATAATATCTGTTGTGCTTGTAATTTCAGTCTGTTTTCAACACTGTGGAGGAATGCAGGGTAAAATTGCAAGGGTTTTATCAAGTCAGTCATGCGTTGTGAATTAATACACCTCCTTCAGGAAACGCTTTAGCTCCATGTCCTCATTTCATAAGAGTCACATTTGGAATGTTTAAAATTCTCTCACATATGTCTTGTAAAAAAGCCTCCCATCCCATTTTGTTGTTTTCAGTTTGCGGACGGTCTACATAGTCCTCATCTATGTAGCAAAAACTCATACTCATGGCATCAATCAAAATGGAAGTGTACAAATGAAAGATTCACTGACCTAAAATAGAGCAAAACAAGGCGTTAAGTGAAGTGACACTAAAATATGTATATGTGGTCTATTTAAAGAGTGACAAAGCCTCTTTGACTTCATTGCAAAGGTAACCAAGTCAGGACGAGCAAGCTACTTTGTCTCCTACATGAGAGAATCCTTCAAGCGGATGAAATTACCTAAATATTGCCTACCAAAGGTAAGCGCCAAAGACAACAAATAACTGTCAAATAATAAAAGATGTATTATCGTAAAGAGACGTGACTTTTTTTGGTTTTGTATCACTTTGGTTTCCCTTTTTTGTGGAATGAAAGTTACACAACTGTGTTACTTTGTGAAGAAGTGTCACACACAACAGTACATGGCCTCTGTTCGGTTGTTCTCACCCATTCTGTCTTTCCATCTGTCTCTCTTTATCTCACCCACACCTTCCTACAGGACATGCATATTATCAGTACAGATGAGAAGCAGGTATTTGCTGCAGTCCAGGAGTGGAATCAGAACAACACTTACAGCCTTTATATCTCAGACTCCCCTGGGGTCTACTTCACCCTTTCATTAGAGAATCTGAGAACCAGCAGAGGAACCGCCGGTAACCTACTGGTTGACTTTTATAAGGTGCGTAGTTAGTTTTGTTCATGGCTGCTGCTTTCAGTCCCTCAGTAGTGGTAGTAGTCAAAAATGGCTGTTGTGCATTTCAGAGCCTGAGGTGACCTGTTTAAATGTCTTGCTTTTTCTGAACCAGACATTTATTTTAAAAGAATATAAAACAGAGAAACAAGTGAATACTTGAAAAGTGACTTAGGTGCAGTGGTGGAAGTCCAATTTGGAGGGTACTTTGAGCATTTCCATTTTATGGCATTTTATACTTCTGCTCCACTTTTTACTCCCCTACAATTATTTCACAGGTATAATTACTAGTTAGATTTCATATTAAGATTTTACTTACAATACACATACACAAGTCTTTAAAATATGATAATTTGTTACACATTGATCTACCCAACAGTTACAATTACCTCCACCACAACCAGCTGCTTACATGTTGATATCAGTAATAATTAACTGACAGGGGCCTTTCTGTGTAATGAATACTTATACTTTTGATACTTTAAGGATACTTTACTCACATTGTACATTTTGCTGATAATACCTCTGTACTTACTCAAATAACACTTTGAATGCAGGACTTTTACTT